CCAAGCAGCTGTAATCCCAGTGCACCACTCTGGGGAGACAGGAAGCAGAGACAAGAAGCTGGTGGGCTACCTCTTACAAGTAGCATAGAGACTATCTCAAACAGTGTGGAGAAGCAAGAACTGACACCTTAAATTTACCTTTGACCTCCACATACATGTGGAGGTACATGTGTGTGCATGCACACACATACATGAAAAGCTCCTACCAGGTATGGTGAGTTATGCCTGTAATTTTAACAGAGGGGAAGCAGAGACGAGAAGATGGTCATTTCAAGGCAAATATTCCTCTGAGGCTGGGTGGGAAGAAACAGTTTATTCTCTGAGATAGCGCTCTAATTTGGTTTTTATATTCTTATCACAGGTCTTATGAGAGATGATGTAATGCATGAGACTGAAGATGTGAAAGAAGCCATAAGAAGGCTTCCTGAGAATCTTTATAACGACAGAATGTTTCGAATCAAGAGAGCCCTGGACCTGTCCATGAGGCATCAGATCTTGCCTAAGGAGCAGTGGACAAAATATGAGGAGGTAGAACGAACGGGTTTGCTTTGTCTAACAGTGTTGGTCCCTCATCATGCTGTATCAGAAACAAGAGAAACCCACTCATTTTGTGCAGTGCTTTAGTGTTCTCCAAGCCGTGCTACATAAGTAGCGAGGTTAGCAGAAAACTGTTAGCTCTGTTTAAAGAACAGCATGGTAAGACCTAGAGCTCAAGTGACTTCTGAAATCACTAAACTAGTCTTTAGTATGGAAGGCCTGGGCTAGAATCCAGGTTTTCTGCCTCGTGGGCCATTGTTTCTTCCCTCTACTTTAGTTCCTGTTTAGTTATATGAAGACCCCTGCGTGATCTTCTGCTTCTTTGCATGGACATTTTCATTGAAATCTGGCAGACCTATAGGTGTTTTTTCCCCTGGTACTCCTCCTGACTCCCTCACTGCATGATCTTTGTGAGATTTTATATTTAAAAAGCACATAGTTCCTAGAACTTCAGATTATATTTTCTTATGGTACAAGCCAAAAGTTTGTTGTAATGAATTTGAGGTTTAAGTCCTATTATTTTTCTTCATTCTTTAGGACAAATTCTACCTTGAACCCTATCTCAAAGAGGTTATCCGGGAAAGGAAAGAGAAAGAGGAATGGGCAAAGAAGTGACCTTGTTGTTGAGATCTGTGGATGTGCCTGGTCTCAGCATATTTTAAGAAGTTGTTTCAACCCGAATCACAATCTAAGAGTTATTTGCTTTGCAGATGCCTCACTTTAAATAAATGTCTATTGTAACCATTTTTGGAATGTTTGAATTTTCTGACACAAGTTTTTCCACACTTCTAAGATGTTTTAGTTGCTGCTCAACTGCCTGAAAATCAGAAAGCCTGCTTTAGTTGTCGTTGGCTGGATAATCAGCCAGGTTACTAAAGAATATATCGTTTTATACAAGCTGAATAGTCAGCTTTAGATTCCCTTTGTGGGCTTTGAGATGAGGGAAGAGGCAACCAGCACTGAACAGATGGAATCAGCTTCCAAAGTGACTGATGGAAAGAAGGGAAAGGTTTTCCTGGACTCTCCAGTCCACAGTGTTTCCCATCATTGCTCTAGATGTATTTTGCATCCTGCTATTAGAAAAAGTCTGTAACCCAATCTGGGCTTCTATAACACACCTGTGTACGTACAGGTGCACATGTCCCTCCCATTAATCAATATGTAGATGAGAAAACTAAAAACTGTTGGTATTCAGACATCTGCACTGGGCTGTCCTTGGGCTTCTGACAGGATACGCTCTCAGCTGCAGCCACTAAGAGCACCCCCTGTGCTTATTTACCTCATTCCCTTTTAAAAGGGCCCCGCCCACCTCCCCATCCTCTCCCTCTCTCCCCTTCTTTCCTCTCCCCTGTTGCTCCTGCCCCCCCCTTTCCCCTTTTTATGGTCTCTTTCCCTAATAAAACCCCTCTGCTTGAACCTTGTCATATGGCATCTTTCTCTCAAACTCTGCTTTTCTTAAATTACAACAACCCTCCCCCCCCAAAAAGACAGGCATTAAGAAGATAATAGGGGACGACAGAAAGACAAATTATATTTTCTTTTAAATGTTCCTTTGAGAACTAGGTATTGAGCTAAGCATGGTATACATGCCTTTAATCCTAGCACTCAGGAGGCAGGACAGCCAGTTTGTTATATACACATTTCCAGGACAGACAGGGCCACACAGATCCTGTATCAAAAACACCAAAAAGCAATTAACAGAAAAAACTAAACAGCAGTGCTTTTAGATCATAGGCTAATTTAAAAATACAAATTAGGGGACTAGAGAGATGGCTGAGTGGTTAAGAACACTGGCTGTTCTTCCAGAGGTCCTGAGTTCAATTCCCAGCAACCACACCATCTATAATAATATCTGGCGCCCTCTTCTGGCCTGCAGGTGTACATGCAGACAACACTGCATAATAAATAAATTTTAAAGAATCAAGACACTAAGACTGTTTGAAAAAACAAAGAATATCTTAAAAGTTGTGTTAAAATATTAGAAAGCTAATTTATTATTAAATTTGCAGAAAAACTTTCCTCTGATCCTAATTATATTTTGAAAGTTGTCCTGAAAGTTATTCTTGCCTAAGTTAGAGCCTTCCTAGAACTTTTTGCTTGTGGTAAAAGTGACAAGTCTATTAGACGAGTCACTTGTCTAATAATATTATGCATTTGTTAGACTATAATTTATTGTAGACTAGACATTGTTGACGAATTTATTGCCTGTATAAATTGTATAGTTATTGTACTCATTGTATATAGTTTTTTCTTCTTTTAGCTTATTTTTATTTAAATTAGAAACAAGCTTGTTTTTCATGCCAGTCCCAGTTCCCTCTCTCCTGTCCCCCACCGATCTCCTATGCCATCAAACCCTTTCTGCTCTCCAGGGAGGGTAAGGCCTTCCATGGGGGACCTTCAAAGTCTGTGATATCATTTGGAACAGGGCCTAGGCCCTCTGTGCGTCTAAACTGAGAGAGTATCCCTCTATATAGAATGGGCTCCCAAAGTCCATTCATACACTAGGGATAAATACTGATCCACTACCAGAGGCCCGCCCAGGCCTCCTAACTGACACTCACATTCACGGTGTCTGGATCAGTCCTATGCTGGTTTCTCAGCTATCAGTTTGGGGTACATGAGCTCCCCCTTGTTCAGGTCAGCTGTTTCTGTGGCTTTCTCCAGCCTGGTCTTGACCCCTTTGCTCATCATTCTTCCTCTGTAACTGGATTCCAGAGTTCAGCTCAGTGTTTAGTTGTAGGTGTCTGCTTCTGCTTCCATCAGCTACTGGAAGAAGGCTCTAGGATGGCATATAAGGTCGTCATCAATCTCATTATAGGGGAAGGGAATTTAAAGTAGCCTCTCCACTATTGCTTAGATTGTTAGTTGGGGTCAACCTTGTAGACATCTGGACATTTCCTTAGTGCCAGACTTCTCTTTAAACCTATAATGGCTCCCTACATTATGGTATCTCTTTTCTTGCTGTCCTCTATTCTTATATTAATTAATTAATCCTGTTTGCAATATTCAAGCAGAAAGCTCTTGGATAAAAGGTGTGTGCTAGGGCTGAAATACAACACAGCTAGAATCAGCTTTCTCTGGTAGATAACTCGATCTTGGGATTCCCAGTATGATCAAATATCCTGCAACATTACAGTTTCAGAGGGTTTAGCCCACTGTCATCATTCCAGGAAGCATGATGGTGTGCAGGCAGGCAGGGTGTTGGAGAAAGAGCTGATAGTTCTAAATTCAGATCAGCAGGCAGCATATGTGACTGATATACTTCTTCCAACAAGGGCACACCTACTCCACCAAGGCCATACCTCCTAATAGAGCAAATACCTATGAGACTATAGGGAGCATTTTGACTCAAACCACAACACTATCCAAACTCCTGTAAGTATCTCCTCAACCATATCCAGTAAATAAACTCAATTGAACTCATTGGTTCCCCCGGGTGGACTTTAGTGAAATTGTACTTTGCATTGTCTTGGGACTTATGGGGACATTGCTTTCTCCCTCTCCATTGGAGAGAAAATTCTCACAACAGATCATAAATCATAAATATATTTGTTAATGTTACTATATGTCATGTTATTAGAAAAAGGAACCAGTAATAAAGGAATATATTAGAAGAATCTAAATATGGCAATGGCCTTAGTAAAGAAGGAGTTAGATATATGAAAATAATGACTTATGGCACCAAGATAAACAAGAGTGGAAAGTTTTTGCAAGTTATGAAGGACAAAGCTATTTAAGGAACATAAAAGATGACATTTAGAGATTATATGTTGTAATAAAATTGGCAGGGTCAGATATCAACTATTCCAAGGACCAGCTAAAATATATGTCAAACAAAAATTTGTTATGTCTGGCTATTGAAACATTATACAGTAGTTAAGACTACCAAACTGGTCTATAACTGATCTTCTGGGTGTTTAATAATCATTTTTGGAGGCTGTCCTAATGTGGTTGTGAGGATTAAAAGGAAGACCATTTTTCCCCTTCCCCTAAAATGTCAATGAGGTCTGTGGGAAATAAGGCTATTGGTCACTTGTCTTGTTCACACAGGCCATGGAGACCCCATTAATGCATTTGAAACATTATCCATTCTACAAAAAGGAGGGTCAATGTGAGAAAGGTTTACTCAAAGTTTCCAAGGAAGCCACAGTTCATAAAGTAAAACCTTTGACTTACCCTCACATTGATGGAAAACTGTCAAGAGTCTGATGTCCCTCTCAAACCCAAGTAACCCATGAGGACTAGTTGAGACAGTGAGAGGACTGAATCCCAACCACTAGATTCCCACTAGATTCCCCAGTGTGAATCCATCCACCCACATTGGGTGCCAATTGAAGGCAAGGGTGTAATGATTTCACTAGACCCAAGATAAATGATAAATGGTGTTTGGGAGTACTTACACAGATAATAATAAAGAACCACAGGAGCGCTTCTCTACCCTTCCTATCTGATCAAGTGACCCAAGAGAAAGGACCTACACCATCGAGACCATGCCTTATGCTTCAGTGTGGCCATCATTACAGGTTCACAGGCAAGACACCTACAACTAGTTGCTCAACTGGCCTTGACAATACAGAAAGAAAAAAATTAATTTTGGCCACTTGCATGGTCTTCAACATTCAGCAGGAAAGTTTAATTAAAAAATGGAGATAATAATAATAATAAATAATAATCAGAACCTAAACAGTCACATTCCACAGACATTAGATGTAAGTCTACATGGTACATTATATAGACAACCAATCACACTAATAATTTCCTCTTCAGAAGAAGATACTGCCCAGATGTGACTTCAGACCTTGGCTCACTGAGCACCTGCCCACAGTCAAGAAACACAGAACCCTAATTATTTTAACCCCCAAATTATATGATGAAATACCTCTCTCCCTATCCAGAAGCCACACCGGAAGGGGATCATGCTGACTTCTGGCTGATGAAAGTGTATGAAAGCTGATTGTGGGTTCATAACTCTGGAGGCCAACTGTAGAGGTAAAACTGAAACATATAATAGATAGACTTTGGGCATTTTAGGTTTTTCCAGGTCTTATCCCAATATTGCCACCTGATACCTTAAATTCAACTGGAAAAAGCCAGATCAGTCATTGTTCCAAGCTCATAATGACATTTAGGGTTAGTTACCTCTTCCGAGGGAGGTGTGCTAAGGAATAGAGGTAGAAATTGACAAGATAGTTTAGGGTAAAAACACCCCAAAGAAAAGTATCCAGTTGCTTTCTTAACTAAAAGTCAAGTGTCACTGGAATTCTTAGCAGTTTCATCCTTGCCAGAGGCCAAAGATGCCAAAAGTGTCTTGGGATCTCTGATCTCTGATGCTCAGTGACTCTGATGGCTTTAGGAAGGAGGAAAGTTAACAGTAGTAATGAAGGTCTGTTAAGAAAAAAAAAGTGCTTGCTTGTTCAAGAGAACAGAATCTCTATCCTGGGTACAGACCTAACATTTCAATGGGGACTGGTCAGTCTTCTGGCCAAGGAACCTGGTCTATGGAGCTCAAGAAATGGTCACTTGGGACATTTATAGATCACATATTATTGATTAACTGATTATTCTGATTAATCTGATTAACTGATTTGTCTGATATAATCCTAATGTCACACAAGAACTAGAAAACTCTCAAGCTCCTTTCTGCCCTTCCCTTTCTGTACTGTTTGGATAATGAATTCCCATTCTTACACAAGTATCTCTGTATCGTCACTCCCCCATAAATGTTGGGCTACATTAAGATACTCACTCTCCTGTGTCTTTTTCTGTCTTATTGAGTAGTCAAGGCCCAGCCTGGAATGACTGACACACTTGGACATGGAAGCAGGAAAGAGATAGTGGAAAAAAATTACAAATGAAGAGTGACTTGTGCAATAATTCAGTTCACTAACTTTAAAGCAGGTGTAGTCACAGTACCAAAAGGGATATGCAAGATGGAGGATGGAAGCTTTCCTGCTGTGACAGTAATTGATATAGTAATGAATGTGAAAGACCCCCCCCAGTCTCAGGCCCCCAGGATCTCGGTCCATGACTGTGACGACCCCAATCACCAGGCAGAGTTGAAAGCTTGATGCAAACAGCAAGAGGTTTTATTGCAGTTGTTTAAGAAGCTAACCACATGTTAGCTCGGGCCTTTCATCTATCCACCATGGCGGATGGCTAGAAAAGACAGCGAGAAGCCACTACATAGAGATCTTATAGAGCTGCATAAGGGGAGTGTCTAGGGGTACGCACAGGCTCAGGACTGGTGTGCCTCCAGGCTTGGAGGACTTGCCCTGTGTTGATTGGTCAACTGGTTGTTATGGTCCATAGGCCCTCCCAGGGTGGTTGCTATGCTCTGTGTGTCATTGCTGTGCGCTTGTCCGTAAAGCACACCCAGAGCGGTAAAGCATAGC